AAAAAAAAAAAAAAAAAAAGGAAAGAAGATCGAGACGCGAGTGTGTATCTTCGCGTGTGTATTATCGCGAGACGATGTTACCGAAAAAAGCGTGTGGAAAATATATACTGATTAATCGTACAAAAAGCATATTAAACATTTCGAGCAAACAAAAGAATAAAATTATAAACAAACGATAAATAGAGGTGCCGGCAGAGTATTTTATTTATTCAACGTTTCCGCAATTTCATTGCGTCCGCCGCATTGCGCGCGCGCGCGCTTGTGTGTGTGCAAGCGCGAGCCGCGAGCGTTTTTAATTCGATAATATATGAAAAATTCTACGCGCCAGACACTAACCTAACGATTTCGAAATTGTTGAGATAGCGAACGATGATAATAATAATAAACTCACGCCTGATCTCCCTTTTCCCGAATCGTCCGTAAAATCTCGAAAATTTTATTTTGTTTTTTTTCTTTCTTTTTTTTTTATTACGAATCGAAATCGAAACGTTAAAACGCAAATAATTTCACAATGAATTGTCGGAGCTTCCCCGTGCGAATTTCGCGCGATTGTTGGGCTCGCGTAGCGCTCCCGATGATCGATCTCGCTCTCTGCCGTTTTATTTATACTCCCTCGAATTAAAACGCACGTTGTCATAATGTTTATCGTAAATCAATAATCATCGCCTAAGCCGTTCGCCGTAAATCCGGGAATCATGGACGGCGATGTAAAGATATAAATCAAATTCGAGGAAGCGGTTTTTGTGAAAACGTTGTTACGGTCGATGAACCTCGTCGCGTTGGCCTTGATTAATGCAAAAAATATTTAAATTGTGCGCCCATTCCGATTACGTTAATGCATAATGCATGTTTCGGGAGTAAACTGCGGCTATACCTTAATAAATCGCGATACTCTAAAGCGCCGTAAATTCCTTCAGATTAAATAGTTATTTTGGTAATTGCAAGAGAAAGCCACTTGGTAGGCAACATATATGCGCATTTCTTCTTATAACTTACGACATAATTACAATGAGAATGTAAGTTTTTATAGTTATAGAGCAATAATCTTGATAGCCTACGTAGTAATAGTTCGTTACATAATTTCTATTCTAACAAAAATCATTATAATTTCCATTATTATAAATCATAATAACGTCTTTTATACAATGTAGTAGGGACAAAAATAGCAGAAAAAGTGTACATTGAGAAAAAAAATTGGAAATTCGTTTGTAGAATGTAAAGTTCCTTTCTCATGGAGAGAGAGCCATAGACTTTATCTCACAGGAATAAACCTTATATCCCACAAATATAAATTTCCAAGTATTTTTCCTCAGTGTACATATTTCATATCCGATACTATATCATATATCATATATCATATATCATAACCGATATTGTGCGTATGTGTGTATGACCTTAACTGTGTCTACGTAAAACCATGAAAGGCAAATTTCTCTTCGAATTTCGACCAAATGTACGATTTCGTCGTGCGTGTCCTTTTTGAAACGCGAGTCTCTCAATACCTACCATAAATCAGACGCGAGCCTTTATCTTCACGTATTTTTGCTAAGCCGTTTTATTAAAAGGAAGTTTAAAAAGAGAAAGAGAGAGGAGCGCAGAGATGTAAATGATCGCGCGCCACTTATTGCGCCGAATGGCACCATATTGCGACATGCTAATGAATTTTTTCCTCCGCTAGCGGGAGTGAACAAAAAAAGAAAAAGATTGATTCACCGCGGACGCCTCCTTCCGGAAGATGGGGGGAGAGAAAGGGGAGGGAAACGACGCGCTCGCGGGAGAGAAAGATATTAAAAATTAATCCTCTCAACCGTTAAGGGCTCCGGGGTTGTTCGGGGGCGACAAGTGGTCGTAATGAACGCTCTAATGAACATGCACAACGAGCGCGACCTCGTTAAGCCACGTGGACGACTGATCGTTAACACGTGGCCTCCTTTTTTAACTGTTACGTAGGGCCCAGCTATCTGGCAGGAGGGAGAGAGAACGAGAAGGGGTCATATAGGACCGATATGTCGATGAAATGGAGTGAAGGGCATTTTTCACTCCTCGGCGCTCTTCAAGTTGCTTTCGCAACTCGGTGATTAAAGTCGAGCTGAAGATCCCCGGCAAAAATTCCGCGGAAAATTCTGGAGAGTCTCGAGAGATTTGTGAGCGAAGTCTCTCTCTCTCTTTCTTCCTCTCTCCCTCTAAATCTTCCGAGCGAAACTTTTTCGCGGAATCATGAGGTTATTAGTTGTTCGCACGTGAAGTGTCAAACGTGCGAAATTTATATGTGGATGGAAAGACGAGAACTTAGGCTCTATACATTTGGGAGCTCTACACGGACTTGTTAAATTCGAAATATATTAATGTTCCACTTTAATTAATACAACTTCCGCTCAATGCGGAGAGTTTACATCATGATCCGCTCCCGTAACGAACTAACTGCACTTATTTTTCCCAATTGACCTCTTTCGCGATTAACACGGTTCTCCCCCTGATAGGACAGCGAGGTTTCGCCGATGCCTCGCTTCACCACCGCAAAATCCTTCCGAAATCCGCATTTTTGGAAGGACCTGCCATAAATTAGCTCTGTAATCAGGCACGGGGATTGCTCGCCGTAATTATTACGGCGAGCGCCAGGCCGCGGTGGAACGAACGGCGCTTCGTTACGATCTCCCGGAGATCGTGTCGAAATAACAAGATAACCACCGGTTAACCCCGTTATCGCGCGGCCGGGGTTTATGGGGTCCCGCGTCGCTGACAAGCGACCCCCATGGCGCGAGTATATCACGCCGCCGCGCAGTTATGTTTCAGCGAGGTTATTCCGCAGGTGTATATTCCGGGGGTGGAACGCGCCCTGCCTGGATATTAATTGGCTTCCGATCTACACGCCGGGATCGCACCACCGTCACCCTCTACGCGTGCCATCAGTCCCGTGACGAGCGTATACAGGGTGTTCAGTCACCGCCGCGTGCCATAATCACGCATTCCTTGAGGAATATGCGTATTGATTTTAGACAATGTATTAAATATATAGAGCGTCCCAGAACAACCTCCGAAGCTCTTGCGAAGGTATACGGTGAACATACTTACGAATGGGTGAACATAAAAGTTCTATAGTTTCGTGATATATTCACAATAATTATCGAGGTATTAATTAAAGAAGATTTTCGAATGATTATAATATTATAATATCACAATAATAATTATATTATATTGAATTACGATTATAATTATAATCGCAATTCAATTGAAAAGCTTTCATCTGAACTTAAATCGGAGTATTTTACTCGAGAAGAATTTCAAGTAACGATTATTAATACGGACTATGATCTCGTAGAAATAGAGAGAAAGAAGCACACGAAAGAGATGGTTCTTATAAAGTTGACGTGGAAAATGTACAAAACGAAATGCCGACAACGCGATGATATTCCGAGTACGAGATACAGTATGCGTCGCGCAATGTGAGAGACTCGCGTTTCAGGGATTCTTTGATAAATTTGAAGCCAGTGTCAGCTGTCTTTCTCTGTTAGGCCCAGTTCCACAACCTCTAGTTAATTTAACTGACCGGTTATTTCATTGGACTTGACCAATCGCATTTAGTGTTAAGAAGAATTAATCAGAATTAATCAATCACTGTTGAGATTTAACCGGTAGTTAAAGTTAAACGGAGATTGTGAAACTGGGCCTTAGTCGTCAATTCGTATTTCATGAGTGTAAGTGATATAATTTATACTTAAGATTTTTGTGTTGGGTCCGCGAAACCTTCTTAAGCAAAATTGTATATTTGATTCAATTAATGGCAAAAATAAAAAATCATAATTTTAACGAAATTTTCGGATTCACTAAGTCAGATTATAGTAGACGAACCGCGGGAAAATAAGTTCCAGAAGCTAAGTTACAATCAATATTTACTGATTACATGTCAGATGTCAAGAGAAGTATCTTCCTCCTTCCAATATATCTCTTTTTTTATATATGTATATTCAAATCATATAAAAAATTCTTTTAAGTACATGTCAATTAAATATTAAATCTTGAATTTTACTTAAGTTACACGGGCGTTTAACATTTCATTTAATGAAATGCTTCTCAGTTATCACGAAAAACAAATGCAGACAAAGAGAGCTCAATTACTACTCTACGCTTCCGTAGTTACAAAATTTTTTTAATTTAGCCGCTTGCTCCGAAATTCCCTTATCAACAGTACGAGTACAGCGAACACGAAAACGTGAAATCGTCCGATCGACTAGTCGACAGACAGACAGGCAGACAGTCAGACAGGAGTCACTCACCTTGTAGATCTCGTCGACGAGCCTGGTGAGTTCCTCGGTCTCCATGATGGCCTCCCAGATGAAAACTCCGCTTTTCCCGGCTTCACGAGATGCTCATATTTTCCTGTCCTCCCGAGACCGGATCTCACGTGGCCGCTCCACTTTCACGAACTCGATCGCGACGTTCGTTCTGTTCGATATATCACCCGATCTGGAATGTGAAGGAAAACCGGAAATTAGATGCGCGCAAGTAATTACGTGGACATTCATTAAAATAAACATATGTACGATAGACACGAAAATACGTACGTTGTTTAAGCGAATTTTCAGTGAAATGGTCTCGAAAGTTCTGTTTTTTACAGTATTTTGTTAAAATAAATACATAATATTCAGTGAAGATAAATGTAATTTATATCGCAACATGAGTGCGCGCGCGTATGTGTGTTAATATAAATTGTAACAATTTATATTAATATTTTCCTAAATCTCAAATCAATATTTAATAATTAGACTCATGGAAGCTGGATATTGGAAATAATGCCAATTCACAAATTTTTCTATGTATTAATGCTAATAAGCATTGGAAAACGCAAGTTATAACGCAATCATTAGATTTAATTAACGTTTTCTTCAATCGAATTCGTACGTTTAATAGTACACGAGTCCGTGGACGTTTAAGCGCGCGCGTGTGGGTTTGTGCATTCAGAGGTATTCGACTCCACTGCTATTTCTCCTCCCCGCGCGTATCTACGCGGCTATTTATCTATTACTACGTTTTTATGATAATGATCTCCGGCAGAAAAGCGCATTCCTCTATTGATTGTGAGTAGCCAGCATCGCTGGAATCTCGCTGGAAACACCACCTGGGCTAAGCACACAGGCTAAGCATTACTCATACGTGGAACGAGAGGTCACGTTTTCAAAGTACTTTCATTCCGCAAGGACACCCGGTATGCGCGCGAGTGGCTATGGGAGAGCCGCATAACTTCGCCGCTTCTATTTCTCGACGCGGATCTACGGGACCCGTGCGGCAAGGTGTTCGCGGCAAGATCGACGATCGAGAAATCCGCTGGATTTCCACCAGATTCGAGATCCCGGAGTCTCGCAGATTCAGATTATCTGAATCACTGGTCAAACCCTCACATGAGCGAGTTGTGGTCTCTGGCAACATTTTTTCAAAACTACATCAGGAGATATTCGTACGAAGAGAATTTTTACTATAGCATTTTTCATAATCGAGAAATATAGATCGACGTTCTGCGGTGAATCGTCCTATTTCACACTTGAAATAATTGAAATGTATTATTAAAACATTTGCTATGTTTCCAGCGAAATTTACTATGTATACTGAAAGAAAAATATAATAATTTAAAAAAAATATTATTTGAATTAAAAAAACAATTTGAAAAAAAATATTATTTGAATTAAAAAAACAATTTTTCAATACGTTTTTTTATTAAATATTTATTTCAATGTAATATTAAATATATTTAAATAAAATATGTATGCATTATGAAAACAAAAATTAATTTTTGTTAAAAGTTACAAATTTTTAATGTAAAGAAATATTTACTTATTTTAATATATTTTAATATTTAATTTAAAAAATTTTAGGTTTTAATTTAAACCTACATATTGTAATTTTAATAATAATAAATAATTTAAAAAAAAAATAAAATACTTTTTTAAGCAAAACAAATATTTTTTTTAAAGAAAAAATTATTTTCTTATCTCAAATAACAAGTATTTTAGACTAATAACATACTTAAGATAGCACAATGAATTTCTAAAATTATTTAAGATATATATTCTTAAGATATATTTGCTGATTTTACTTGAAAACTTTAGATTACTTGATTCCAACCTTATATTACATTTAAAAATTTTCACTGGCACTGGTGAGACTCGCAATTGGACCTTGGAGGCATCTTTGGATTATGAGTCTTACTTTAGACACTGCACCACTTCTTCGATCGATATAAAAGTTTTATATTTTGTCTAATTATCTATGTGTTATAATTAACATAATAATATAACTTTTGATAATATGATTTAATAAAATGACTTAATTTTAATATTCTTTCACACGAGGATCATTTTTACGATTTCTACATAAACTTTTATCCTCTATCTATTTTTCTAAAGAAAGATTTCGTAATATAAAAAATATATATTTTTTTATATGAAATTTGCTGAATACACCTTCCTTATATTGTAACTGTGCTTTGAACAATATATTTTTTTATTATTAATAAACAATTCCTTATATTGTAACTGTACTTTCAATAATATATTTTTTTATTATTAATAAACAATATCAACCAATTCATGCATTATATGTAAACATGCAAATTTATTTCAAATTAAAAAGAAATTTCATTATTTTCAGTTGTTTATTTAAAGAAAACTGGTTTATTAAATTGTAATATATATATTTTTTATTTTTAAATGCATATTTCATTAGTTTACAAAATTTCATATTTGATTTCAGGTAATAGTTATTATTATTTGATTCAATTCGTAAATTATTTTATATTACAAAATATTTTTTTAAATGAAATATTTATTTCGATCAGAAAATTTGATATAAAAAAAATATATTTTTTTTATTTTATGAAATTTTTCACTCAGTGTAAAATTGAAAAATTGTAAAATTAAAAAAATTAAAAAGAATTTCTATGACCATAAAAACCGTAATACTCTCTCCATGCATACTTCTAACCTAATGCCAAGAAATTTTTAATAATAATCATTAAAAATCACTATCGCATTACCGAAAGTCATACACTATGAGTGTCATCAGTAATTCAGTAAGACGTTATCGTCTGTATGAAATTTCAGTGTAAATTTTCCTCTCAGAGGGGTTGGCTCACAGAAACCCGAGAGGATTCTCAACTTTCGTAAGCGAGAGATATTCGCGAAAGTAATTCACGACTCGTTCGGACGAATTTGTGCAATTTAAAAGGAACGCTGTTGCCAAAGGTAAATGCTACGGTGCGATAATTGCAGTTGCACGCGACGTTGACGTCACGACGGTAACGGGTGGGGCGATTGTGAGAGTGTCACGTGCGAAACGCAACGGAAAAGTGAATCGGTGACTGCAAACGAAATATCAATCGCCGCGCGGCTGGTGTAGCGCGTGTAACATAATAGCTCGATTAATAATAAAGCCGCCGCCCGGCGACTCACCGTGCCCGGGCCGAGCGCATGCTTAATTAATAAATTGACATTTCATAAATTAATCCGCGCGAGACTGCGAATTCACAAAGTTAGCCAGACTGTTTAGGCTTTATCAATAATTCCGACGACCCGAGCAATTTGTCAATTTATCGTCCGTTACTTTTTCATGGCGTCCATACCAATCGAAACCGTGGAAAATTTCTTTGCCACATGCACATTTCAAACCTCTCTCTCTACCTCTCTCTCTACCTCTCTCGCGACAACAGGATCATTTATGACGCGCACAATTTGACCCGTTATTATATGTAAGACCGTGACACAAAGCAAATAACACGTTTTCGCAAGCATGCGGCAAAAAATATGGTAAGAAAGATTTGTAATTTTTTGTTAATTAAAAACGATATTAAATGTCCTGCGGGACACACCGACACCTGCTGGGCACGGGCAGCGAATAAAAGTCTCGTAAGTACAAAGGGGAGATGCTCCGTTATCCGAATTATCAATCCATTTGAAATGTGTAATCAAACGATATCCTGATTCGATGAGCGAAATGTGGCGAATATCGGCGGGGCGCTCGTTCGAATCGTTAAATCGCAACGATCGATGCGACGCGATCCGATGCATGCGTGCGTGCGTACTCGGGCGCGTACACGATTCGATCGCGATCGCAACACGGAGCGGAAGATTCGATTAAACGATGAAAGCGGCGCAAAATTCGCCGCGGCCTATCGAAAGCGCTCGTCGTTTCTCTCTCTCTCTCACTCATTCTCTTTCTCTCCCTCTTTCTCCCACTCGCGAATTCGCTCGTTTCGCGAATTTCGACGACGCAACTTCGCAAACGCTCACGCGCTCGCTCGCACGCCCCCCGAAAGCTTTCAAGCGAATTAAATTCTCTCGAATCGTTTACGATAAAATGTTTCCCTTTAATCTCTCTAATCACCGACGCGCCTCCGCTCTGCAAACTTTCGCGAATTTCACCGGCACACGTGACTAGGAACGCTTTAAAGTATCGATACTCGACTCTCGCGCACAATTGCTAATACGAAGGTAACGGCGCTCTGATATTTCCGCTCTGACGACAGTGCGACAGAGCGAACGAATTAATAAATAATAATAATCTTCGAGACAATTATTGTTATTGTTATTATTATGAAATAACGGCGAGAGATAAATCGTTAGCTGAAGTCATTCCTGCTAGAATAATAAAGGACAGTATCATCAACATAATGCGTATGTGCGATATTCTCGACTGGCTAAATCATAGTTATATTGGTATCGCATGCGTCTGATACAATATGTATCATATCTCATGTACATCTCATGTACATCTAGATTAGATCAAACTGAACACAAAATGCCTCCACCATTTTGCAAACAGCCACGTAAAATTTTGAGTTATGAATTAAATGATCACGCATGATGTGATATATGAATTGTGATAGGCGTCGTGTGTTTGCGGATTAGGTCGAACTGAACGATCTTTCACCACTTTACAAACAATCACGTAGATTTTTTATTATTAATTATATATAAATATTACACAAATAAATTATTAATTAAATTATATGTAAAGTATAAATTAAATTACATAAATAAATTAAATTGCACATATAAATTAATTAAAGAAAACATTGGTGCATTATCGGGCACGCACATACATCCGCCAATGTTCTGTGATTAATAACTCAAAAATCTATGTGATTATTTGCAAAATGGTACAGGACTTTTTTCTTCAGTTTCATCTAATCTACATCAGATATGGAACACTTTCGCGTATCCTGTACAAATTGCATGAATTGTTTAAATAATGATATTACTGATATGGGAAAAATTGAGTAAAACGGTATTCCCCAGTGAATGGAGATTTTCCCGACGTTAATTACGGCTCACGCAAACCGCGCTCGAAAACTGTCGTATCCCGAATAACGCGCTGTCGATCACGCACAACGGTGCATCGAACTTGCGCGCGTTACTTTCTTCGTTACGAGATCCGTATTGTTACATCACCGACGTGAATATGTTTATTAGAGC